GTGGTTCAGAGTACTGGGACCATTCCCTGAGCCTTCTTGGTCCTGTATTCTGTGTTGTTCTTGGCAGAGCTCGTCACTACACGTCCACCCGATCCACCATCTTTTTCCGCTGGGTGTGTTGTTTTTCTTAGTCATTTACAATAATGGTCTTATGCAGTGTTTCTCCTTTTGTGCCTGACTAATTTCACTCAGTATTGTGTCCTCAGGGTTCATCTATGTTATGTGATGGCTTGTAGCTTCCTTGTTGTTCTTCAAGGTAGCGTAGTATTTCATTGTGTGTGTGTACCACAGTTTGTTTATCCATTCTTCATTTGATGGACATTTTCGTTGTCTCTGTTTTTTTGCTATTGTAAATAGTGCTGAAGCTGAAGAAAATGAAAACAAGTCCACAAGCGCCAAAATACGACCTTGAATATATCCCACCTGAATTTAGAGATCATCTGAAGAACAGATTTGATAAATTAAACACTAAAGACCAAAGACCAGAAGAGTTGTGCAATGACATCAGGAACATCATACATAAAGAAAGGAAAAAGTCATTGAGAAGACAAGAAAGAAGGAAAAGGTCAAAATGGATGTCAGAAGAGACACTGAAACTTGCTCTCCAGCATAGAGATGCTAAAGTAAATGGAAGAAATGAGGAGGTCCAAGAGCTGAACAGAAAATTTCAAAGATCAGCTCAAGAAGATAAAGCCAAATATTACAACAAAATGTGCAAAGATCTGGAATCAGAAAACCAAAAAGGAAGAACACGCACAGCATTTCTCAATCTGAGGGAACCGAAGAAACAATTCAAGCCTGTACTTTCGTTACTGAAAGGTTCTCTGGGCAAATTATTGAATGATGCAGAAAGCATCGAGACAAGATGGAAGGAATACACAGAGTCACTGTACCAACCATTTCAAGAGGTAGTGTATGATCAAGAGCCAGTGATACTTAGGAAGGAAATCCAAGGTGTATTGAAGGAATAGGCAAAGAAGAAGTCACCAGGAATTGATGGAGTAAAAATTGAAAATCTTTTAAGAAAGTGAGGCGGCACAGGAGGCACTCACTCATCTCTGTTAAGAAATTTGGAAGACAACTATCTGGCCGACTGATTGGAAGAGATCCATATTTGGTGCCCATTCCAAAGAGAGGTGACCCAAGAGAATGTGGAAATCATTAAATAATCTCTTTGATACCCCATGCGAGTAAAGTTTTGCTAAAGATAATACAGTAACGGCTACAATCATATACTGACAGAGAACTTTCAGAGGTTCAAGCTGGATTTAGAAGAGGCCATGGAACGAGGGGTATTACCTGTGCTTCATTGACTACGCAAAGGCTTTCGATTGTGTGGATCATGACAAGCTATGGACAACATTATGAAATATGAGTATTCCGGAACACTTAATTGTACTCATGAGGAATCTGTACATGGACCAAGTGGAAGTTGTTGAAACAGAACATGGGAACACTGAATGTTTTAAAATTAAGAAAGGTGTGCGACAAGGTTGTATTCTTTTGCCATACTTATTCAATCTGTATGCTGAGCAGATAATCCGAGAAGCTGGGTTCTATGAAGAAAAACGTTGCGTCAGGATTGCAGGAAGACTCATTAACAACCTGTGATATGCAGATGATACAGCCTTGCTTGCTGAAAGTGAAGAGGACTTAAAACATTTACTGATGAAGATCAAAGAGCACAGCCTTCGGTATGGATTACATCTCAACGTAAAGAAAACAAAAATCCTTACCACTGGACCAATAAACAACATCATATCAACGGAGGAAAAATTGAAGTTGTCAAGGACTTTGTTCTTCTTGGATCAACTATCAACACTCATGGAAGCAGCAGTCAAGAAATCAAAGGACGTAGATCTTTGCTAAGTATAAATATGAGACAGTTTTAGTAGTTAGGAAATCAAATGACATATTGCATTAGGTAAATCTGCTGCACAAGACCTTTTTAAAGTGCTCAAGAGCAAAGATGTCAGTTTGAGGACTAAGGTGAGCCGTACACAGCCATGGTATTTTGAATAACCTCATATGCATGCAAAAGGTAGACAGTGAATAAGGAAGACAGTAGAAGAATTGATGCTTTTGAGTTATAGTGTTGGCTGCCAAAAGAACAATTAGATCTGTGTTGGAAGAAGTGCACCCAGAGAGCACACCTTGTGGGCCAGGATGGCCAAACTTCATCTCGCATACTTTGGACACATTGTCAGGAGCGACCAATTGCTAGAGAAGGGTATGTATCATGTTTGATAGGGTCAGAGAAAAATGGAAGACCCCCATCGAGATGGATTGGCAAAATGGCAGCATCAGTGGCCTCAAGAGTGGCAACAATTGTGAGGTTGGCCTAGGACTGGGCAGTGTTTTGTTCTTTTGTGCATTAGGGTCGGTATGAGTCAGTCACGATTCGATGGCACCTAACAACAATGACCTTTTGCTTTCTTCTTACATGTTCATTTGTGTCTAAATGCATCAAATGTGTTCTTTAGATGATCTCTAAATTCAGGTGTGATATGTCAAGTCGTATTTTGACTGTCATGGACTTGTTTTAGTTTTGTTTCGCTTCAGCCAGAACTTGCATATTAGCAACTGATGGTTTGTTCTCCAGTCAGCCCCTGGCCTTGTTTTGGCTGATATTTCGGAGCTGCTCCACTGTCTAATTCATATAGATGTATTCAATTTGATTTTTATGTATTCTATCTGGCAGGTCCATGTGTATAAGTCATCTTTTATGTTGTTTAAAAACGGCGTTTTGCAATGAAGTAGTCATTGGTCTTCAGAATTGTATCATGCAATCTCCAGCATCTTTTCTATCCCCAAGGCCATATTTTCCAACTACTGATCCTTCCTCTTTGTTTCTAAACTTTGCATTCCATTTGCCAGTAATTATCTATATATCTTGCATGCTTGATCATCTTCTGGCTGAAGAAGTTGGTCGAATTCTTTAATTACATCATCACTGGCTTCAGTGTTGAGTGCATAAATTGGAATAATAGTGGTAGTGATATTCATTGGTCTGCCATGTAGGCATATTGAAATTATCCTTTCCCAGACAGCGTTATATTTCAAAATCTTGAAATGTTCTTTTTGATGATGAATACAATGCTATTCCTCTTCTGTTTGTCATTCCGGCATAGTATACCATGTGGTTGTCAGACTCAAAATGGCCAGTACCACCTGTGTATTTCAGCTGTTTAATGCTGAGGATATCAATCTTTATTTGTTCAATTTCAGTTTTGACACCTTCCAAATTTCCTAGATTTATACTTTGTACAATTCATGTCCAATTATTCATGGATGTTTATAGCTGTTTCTCCTCATTTTGAATTGTGCCCTATCCACAAATGAAGATCCCAGAAGCTTTGCCTCATTTGCATCATCTAGTCAACTCTACTTTGAGGAGGCAGCTCTTCCTCAGTTGTATTTTGAGTGCCTTCCAACCTGAGAGGCTCATTGTACCATACTATATCTCACAGTATTCTGGTGTTATTCATGTTTCAATATTCAGTATTCTGGTGCTGACACTGCTATTCATAAGGCTTTCCCTGGCTAAACTTTCAGAATTAGTCCTCTCCCTCGGCTTAGTCTGGAAGCTTAGCTGAAATCTTCCAACCATCAGTGTCCCTGCTGGTATATAAAATACCTGTTGCATAGCTTTTAGCACCTCAGCAACATGCAAGCTACCACAATACAACAAACTAACAGAGGAGAGCCAATAGTTCGTAGAAAATGTTAGAAAATTCATTATCAGTGATTGTACCGATGACTGGTTTACTGCTTTGTTCTGCCACTATCTCCTTGATAATGCTGGTTAGTGTTCTAATACTAGATTGAAAAACTAGTCTGATTTTCAAATTTTTTCTTGTCATAAAGCATTGCAGAGGTAGAATTCTATTAGAACACACACCTACACACCTTCAGCACCCCATGATAAACCATGAAGCACTTTCACCTAAATGGGATGACAATTAAAGCATATTTAAAGTGAATTTATGTCATAGAAAAATGAGTTGAATTTCCTGTTACTTAATAAAAATTTCTTTAGTTTCTAGAGTCCACATGTGTAGAATCACATGCTTAGAATTACATCTAGAGGAACTGGGTTGTGAGTTATATCAGCTATTATTACCAGGAAGTTGTCATGCTTTTTATTTCCTTGCTAGTAACCATGGGAAGTTTTAAACTATTTTTAGGAAGTATCTTTTTGAGAGGTATGGAAATAAAACTCATTTTATTCCTGAAAGTGAGTTACTATATATGTATATTTAGATACTAAAGAACAATTTTGCTTCCCTTCCCCCTTCCAGATGATTTCCAATGGGATGATTACTTGAAAGAGACTGGATCTGTAAGTGCCCCTCCAGAGTATTTCAGACAGGTATGCTAAATTCTGTATATGTTTTGAATATTAATATAAACTTATTTACGGGTATCTGTATAGATAATTAGGTTGTAGTAGTAGCGTGAGTAGATACTAGGATTGTGGTAGTGTAAGTTATCAGCCAGATGGTTCTTTGCATCCAGTCATTAAGAATTTACTCTATGCCAGGCATACTTAGAAGAATGCAACACCCTTATTACTGCCCATCTGTAAGGAAATATAGACATGTAAATAAATAATTATGTGAAGTGTTAATAATGCTATATTGGGAAAGCTCATAGAAGAGCTGCTATCTGAAATGGGTAGAATGAGGGGAAGGATATTCAAGGCAGAGAGATCTCCCGGAGCAAAGTCACATGGGTTGGAAAGAAGCTGAGTGTTGATGGCATGAGGTGGCTGGAGCACAGAAGGGATAGCAGTGATGATATGGGAATCAGGTTAAAGATATGGGGTTTTTAACTTCTGAGTAATTGGACTTTAGGCAATGGTGAACTACTGATTGACTTATTTCAAGGGAAATGGCTTAGTCAGATTCTTATTTTAGAAAGTCACACAGGATGCATTGTAGAGACTGTATTTGGGTTGCCTGGAAGTGGGGAGATGAGTTAGACCAGCAGTGGTTGGTGTTTTTTTTGCTGCGTATCAAGCCAAGGAGAGGGTTTAAAGATCTGTTCTTTGACCTTTATAACTCTTACCTCACTTCCCGTTTGCTGTGACTGTTACTTAAAACATTTCTTAGATATTCTTGGTTTATAACTGTTTGTTTTTCCTGTAGTCATTTAACAAAACGAAACTATTTAACAAAATTTTATTTATATATACACATACACAGTCCATGATTCCACCAGCTAATGACTTCAAAGTTGGTATGAAATTGGAAGCTCGTGACCCACGCAATACTACTTCAGTGTGTATTGCCACAGTAATTGGAACTACAGGTGCCAGGCTACGTTTAAGACTGGATGGTAGTGACAACCGGAATGATTTTTGGAGACTTGTTGATTCCCCGGATATACAGCCTATTGGGACATGTGAAAAGGAAGGGGACTTACTTCAGCCTCCACTGGGTAAGGATAAACCATTTAAAAAAGAATATACTTTTAATAATTTAATATTCAGTAGAAATAGTTATAAGTGGCCTTTTTAGAAATCTCTTCTATTAAGAATTTTTGCAAATAGTCAGATGGTAACTGTGGAGAATGCACCATGTAAGAACTCAGTACCGTATGTTTTAAAGTATTGCTTAAATACACATTTTCTCCTATGTGTGCCAAAGGTTCCCCACTCCAGGGCAAGGTTCATGCTGTCTGCAACCTTGAAATGGCAAAAGTAGGTCTACTAGATTATATTTTCAGACTCAGAAACTCTGGATCTGGGGAAGATATATGTAGCATTTCATAATAGCTTACTTCTTCTCTTGATTCTGTCCACTGAGCCACTCAACATTTTTGTTGTGGGTGAGTACAGGGAAAGGTGATAACTCCACATCCAGCCATTTCATCAGGCCAGTGGTAGGAAGAAATTGGAATGAACAAGGTACCCTGAGGTCTCTGAAAAGGGAGGAGGAGGATGGGACTGTCAGCAAAGGTTTTTTAGGCCTGAAGTAATAGCTCTCAGTTTTAGTCAAGTTTTATAAAATGTAAGATTTTCCTTTTTAAAAATCCATAATATTCTCTAAAAATTATGTATTTTAGTTTATCATTCTACTTTCTCAGAGAATGGTGGATATTGGTTTTGATTTGGTTTGTGCTTACAATGATAAAATTCTTTATTGCAAATTCAAAGAATGGTATTTTGGTTTGTTTCCTATTAGTTAAAATCCCTGAGAACAAGAAGTTTTAGATATTAATAATAACTAGCTATATCTTTTTATATTGTCCTTGTGCTAATTGTTAATTACACCCACTTTGGTTTAAAATAACTATATTTTTTAATACCAAATTAGGTATAATTAACAGAGCAAAGATAGTGTTAAAAAAACAAGGATAGTATAAAAACTAATAGCTGTGATAACCCAAAAAGATGGTTTAGGAGTTTTTTCTGTGTGTGTGGTGTTGTTGTTGTTTTCCTGTTGTTTACCTTTTATTGCTTTGCATCATTCAAGTTTTTTGTTGTTTATTTTTTTGATAATAAATCGCACAGACTTTGCTAAGAGATGTAAGTGGAAACCGGGAGCTCAATGCTTCCCTTTTAGGATTTTATTTCTCCGGAACATGGTAATATGTTTTTGTTTTTTGTTTAAAGAAGATGTAGCTTTTGCTATTGTCAGCTTTCCAAAGACACAGTCAGACTTAGGGTCATTTTCGTTTTTTCAAATTATTGTTTTGAATTCATTTTATTAATTCTAAAGATGTGAATAAAATACGTAGCGGTACATTCTGATTAGTATATATTTTGGCAGTACATGTAACACTGTATAATCTGTTAAATTGCTTGCTGTTGTTGTTAGGTGCTGTCGAGTCAGTGTCGACTCATACGGACCCTTTGCACAACAGAATGAAACACTTCCCAATTCTGTGCCAATCTCACAATTGTTGTTATGCTTGAGCCCATTGCTGTTGCCACTGTGCCAATCCATCTAATTGGGGGTCTTCCTCTTTTTTGCTGACCCTCCACTTTACCAAGCATAATGTCTTTCTCCAGGGGCTGATCCCTCCATGATGATGGTATTGGTTTTTAAAATATCGGTGACATAGCTTCCAGCATCATAGCAACATACAGTCCACCACAGTACAACACATTGACAGATGGGTAGTGGATATAAGCCTTCCAAAAAAACCCAACTCATAGCTGTTAAGTCAATTTCTATTCATAATCCTATAGGATAAAATAGAACTGCTTCATGGAGAACCCTGGTGTGGCACTTTAGAATAAGTACTGGACTGCTAACTACAAGGTTGGCAGTTCAAACCCACCATAATAAATAGATATTATTATTCTTTGGTCCTCCAGAAAGTTAATAAGCAAAATGCCTTGATCTTTGCTCTTGGCTGGTTTGCTTTTGCTTTGACTAGACTACTTCATCTCTTGGTAGCCATTGCTTTGATTGTGTTTTGTCTTCAGGATCATACTGGTAAAGCTATGTTACATCTTCTGTTCTGGTTCTTCCAAGAACTGCTTCAGGGCCTTGATGCTACTTGTTTAAGTAGCTGTGATCTTGTATGCAGCTGATTTAAGTGCAACAGTTTGAGCACCCATTGTGCAGAAAGTTTCCTCAACTTCAATTTTTGCATCAGAATTGTGTATGCTGAACCAGTTGAGAGGTCTGTGGTGTTGGTTGTTTTTGCTGTTAATCCTCAGTCCTCTTTAATCAGGGATTGAATGAGACTGTTTCCTTTACAAGTTGATGTGAATGGTCTGCTGTTGTGGGCTTCATCTTCAACATAGTCTGCTCCTTTCTTAAAATGAGTTATCCATTTGTAAACTGATGATTTCTTTGGGATATTGTCCCCGTAAACTTAGTGTAAAGCATCAGTGAGTTCACCATTTTTCCACCATAAATTTGATGTTTGTTCTTGCTTCAATTTTACTGTTTAACAATTCATGTTACTCTAATAGGAGCTTTTTCAAACTGATGTCTTACTCATCTAAGTGCCTCAAACTAGATCCTGTTCAGACATATTAAAACAAGTTAGTATGAATTTATTTTGGTGCAAAAAGTTTTGAAATTTATGTGTAGTTTTTTCATAATATGTGTTTTCCATGTACTTTTTGAAGACCCCTTATATCATTAACTATATTTTAATGTTTACAGCCTTTTTTTTTCCTTTTGAGGTTAAATTTACATTCAGCTAAATGTACTGAGTTATAACACAGAGGGGCTGGCAGTCTTTGCAGTCTTTGCTCTGCTTATGTGACTATGTTGGAAGCTCACCTAGGCTCTGGCTTGGACCACCCTAGTATTCTGGCCCATTCCCAACATATATTGGTTGGTGATGGTGAGCTTCTATTCAGGGACTTCTCTAAAATGAGAGTGCCTACTCCCACTGTAGTGTTGTCAGTACAGTGGACGCAGCAGTGCTGCGATGAGGGTGTATCTGCACTTCTTTTCCATCTCTTGTGTTTTTCTGTAAGAACATCATTCTCTACAGAAGGTAGAGTAAATGAAACCTATTTTTTTATACCAGACTTGCTGTATTATTATAGGGAGTTTTTTTTCATGATATCTAATTTATTTAATAAAATAGGGTACCAGATGAATGTGTCATCTTGGCCAATGTTCCTCTTACGAACTCTAAGTGGATGTGAAATGGCAGCTGTGACACTCTTTAAGAAGGTAAGAGTGGCTTTATTGTTTTAACGGGATGTTTAAATGCTTTGTGTTTTCTGACATGGTATAGAGATAGCAAAGTGCTTTTTAAATTACTGCATTGGCAAGTCATAAAAGGGCTCTATCTCAATTATAATCACCCACTAAATTAGTACCCTTTTTCTTGACCTTAGATATGAAAGGGATGCTTGACTGAAAGCAAGTGTTTGCTGCTGTTTTTAACAAAACTTCAGAAATGATATTTCACCTAACTTTGTAAGTTTATAAGGCTTCAATTTGGAGCCCTGTTGCGGTGCTGTGGGTTAATGCGCTGGATTGCAAAGTTGGTTTGAACTGCAAGGTCTGCAGTTCAAGCTCACCAGCTGCTCCTTGGAAACCTTATTACAGGGTTGCTGTGGGTCGGAACCAACTCAATGCACTTAACAACAACAATTTAAAGTTGGAGTCCTGGTGTGGCGCTGCAGGTTAATGCAATGGACTTCAAGGCCAGTTTGAACTGCAAAGTTGGCAATTTAAGCTCACCAGCCGCTCCTCGGAAACCCTGTACAGATCGCTATGATTCAGATCCGACTCAACAGCACTTAACAACAATGGGAGAAAATGATGAACGGCCCCAAAGCCACATAAAAATCACTTGGAAAGGTTTGGTTTCAGACTTAGAATAATGTTAAATAAAGCATTTATCAGAAAGAATTTTGTAATAAGAAAACACTTTCTATTTGAAAAAAAAAAAAGAAAAATAATTTATGTTCTTGATAGTGACCAAGACTATATCATATTAAGAAAAAATGAATAAATGCCAAGTTTTCACTAAATTATGGGTCAAAATATTTTTCTTAGCCTCTCTTTTGATTGTTTTTAAAATCAACTAAATTTTACCTAAATATTCCAATGGAAGGAGCCCTGGTGGTTCAATGAGTTAAGCATTGGGTTGCTAATTACCAGCAACTCCACAGGAAAAAAGTAAAGGCATTCTACTCCTGTATAGATTTCGGTCTTGGATACCCCATCGAGCCCTATTTTTTGCAGGGCAGATTTGTTTGTTCTGGCAGTCCATGGCACACTCATTCTTTAACATCATAATTCACAAGCATTGATTCTTTTTCAATCTTCTTACTCATTGTCCAGCTCTCATATTCATATGAGATGATTGAAAATACATTAGGAGTGTCCCATTCACTTAGCTTTCTAATTGTTTTGTTTTGTCTTTTCTTTCAGATCTCACCACCACTATTTTTTATGCAAGTTTTCTTATTTTCTATACTAGCCTCCTAACTAACTGCCTCTTACCTTGGCTCTTCTATACAACTGATGGGTATCCAACATGAAAATGGTACATTATTCTGTTTAAAAATGAAATGCCCAGTCACTCTCACTATGGAATATAAGTTTCTTAATATGGCCAAGGAGTCCTGGTGTGGCATGATAAGCACTGGACTGCTAACCACAAGATCACCAGTTCAAATCCATCATCCACTTCTTGGAAACCCTTGCCATGAGTCTCAACTGACTGAACAACACTTAACAATGTGGCCAATGAAACTGTATATGGTGAGCTTAAGGGCTTGCCACACCCTGCTTTGGATTTTATATTCTAAATTGTGTGTAATAGCCTGTAGATTGCCCGTTACTTTTTAGAATTGTGCTTTGACTCATCCTGGTTTTGCCTGGCTAATTCATGTTTCTCTGCTAAAACTCAAGTCAGGCATGAAATTCTCCCACATAGACTAATTATCAGTCTTTCTATATATTGGGTTAAATTATTATTTTTACTGTTTCTCTTGCCTTCTAGACTGTGCATTCTTTTTATGCAGTTAACATACTTTTCTATTCTTATTGCCTACCATAGTACCTGGCACGTACTTGTTAAATAAATGAAGAAAGGATAGAGAATATAAGAAGATAAATATGTATGGAGGGAACAGATGGGTTGAGTTTTGGACCTGTTGAGTGCCCCTGGCAAATTTGAGTGGGGATGAGACAACCAGAATGTTGAAAGTAAAAGGTTTAACACTTCGGAAAAGGGTTTGTCTTGGACATGCAGATTTTAATTTTTAGTATAAATAGTACCTGCAGAAGCCCTTGAGCATGAATAAGCATGAACGGGCAGTTCCTGGGTTATGATCATCTGACTTATGGACAACTCCGTTGTTGTTGTTAAGTGCTATTAAGTTGGTTCTGACTCCATAGTGACCCTGTATAGGGTTTTGAAGGAGCGACTGGTAATGTTTAATGTTATGTAAATTTGCCCTCACTTTGAAGTATTGAATAACCCTTTTCATAACAAATTCTTCATCACAATCACTTTCACTTGCTGCATGTACAGCTTTTAAAAATCATTGAAAAGGCTTTTGAGCTTTTTACACTGAAGTTAATACTAAGAACTGTATGCATCTGTTCTGACTAATCTACAAATTAGACTTAAAGACTCACTTAGGGAAAGATCTCATTTATTAATTAAGAACTTATTCGGGGACTGTCAGCAGTGTCTGAGTTATGAACAGCAGATCTGTTCCTAAGTCTGTTTTTTTAAGTCTAAGTAAATCCTTAAGTCAAATTTGTAGGTAAGTTGCAACAGGTGCATGCAGATTTTATTTAGACTCTGAAGTCTTTTCGTGACTTAAAAACTGCATGTGCAGCAAGTGAAGGTGATTATAATGAGGAATTTGTGAGAAGGGCTGGTTCAATTGGTTCAAAATGAGCGCAAATTTACATAACATGAAAGAGCAAGTCCGAGTAGTCCTTAAGTGGAGTAGTTCGTAAGTCAGATGTTCATAGCTCGGTGACTTACTGTCTAAAAGGAAAACAGAGATGCACACCGAGGTTGGAACCTTGAGAAAAAGGCAGCCACCTTTATGGAGTAAAGGAGCCCAGGTGGTGCTATAGGATAAGCACTGAACTGCTAACCTGCAAGGTCAGCAGTTCAAACCCGTCAGCTGATACATAGGAGAAAGATGAAGCTCTCTGTTCCCATAAAGATTTACAGTCTCAGAAACCTTATGTAGGGCTGCTATGAGTTGGAATTGACTGGATGAACCTGGTAGGTAGGTAAAAGAATGGGATCAATCCTAATAGTAGAGGAAGAAAGAAAACCAGAATAAACTGGTGTCACTGAACCCAGTGGAACAGAGTTACAAGGATTAGGGAGATGTTGTTATTATTAAGTGCTGTTGAGTTGGTTCCAATCCATAGGGTTTCCAATGAACAGCTGGTGAGCTTGAACTGACAACCTTGAGGTTCAAGCCAACTTTGCAGTCCACATTAACCCACAGAGCACCACACTAGGATGTCAGCAAGTCAAGTACAAGTCAGAATTGTTGAGTCTAGGAGTTCTGGTTTGGCGCTGTGGGGGGTAATGTGCTAGACTGCAAGTTGGTGGTTCAAGCTCACCAGCTGCTCCTTGGAAACCCTATACAGGGTCTCTTTGAGTTGGAACTGACTCACTGGCACTTAACAAGAAGAAGAAGCTCATATCACATAATTACTAGAGGTCCGTTAAGAAGACAGCTGATTCTATTTTAAGTATAGATCAATCTTAAGGAGAATAGTAAGGATTTGGAAAAACTGTTGTATGGGATGGGGGAAATATTTTGGGGCCTCTGCTAAAGGTCATGAGACTAAAAATGTGTGGCACTATATGTAACAAGAATGTGTAAGCTTTCTTTAGCAATGTTCAACAGCTAAGTATAAATAGAAAAAGTGGATGGTGATATTGAACTAAGGTTTGCAGGTAACTGGGCAAGGAGAAGAGAATTAAATTGGTTTCGGGTGCCAAGAAGAAAGTAGTGAAATGATGTTCTGTACCCTGGCCATGCAAAGGGCATGAGAGAATGTTGGAGTGTTTGGTCATCTTTAATCGGCATCATTGATTCTTGACCAGGTAAGGAAGAAGGCAAGAGGGGACTTGCCCACCCCCAAGGGATAATTTGTGTATTTAATTGTCAAAACTGGGGCACAGGTAGCCCTCCACGGCAAAGGATGATTTGATCCAAAAATGGCAGTATTGCCAAGGTTGAGAAATCCTGATCTATATCAGTCCCTTGGCAATCTTAAATAATTTCTTGACTTACATGCAATGACTTTCAAATTTGTATATCCAATCCAGATCTCTTGCTCTCAACTCAGTCTTTTGTATCTGTCACATGTGCTTAACATCTCATCTCCATTTGTATGTCTAACAACCCATTTACTGTTTTCAAACTCATAGCTGCTATCATATAGGATAGAATAGAGTTTCTGAGACTGTAAATCTATGGAAGCAGAACCACCAACTTTGCAGTTAGCTGCCTGACACTTAACTCGTGGCACCACCAGGACTCATTAGATGTGTAATGGTAAGTTCCATACAGTCAGTTCTGACTCACAGCAACCCTTTATAAGGTTTCCAAGGAGTGGCTGGTGCATTTGAACACCAGCATTTCTGTTAGCAGACCAGCACTTATTCTCCAGTGCCACACAGCAAACAACACCTCAAACTACTCCACCTGCAGTCTTCTCCATATTGGGCAGTGGTTAATTCTTTTCCTTCCAGTTGTTCAGGCCCCAAACCTTGATAATTATTTCTTTCGTATCCCACATCCAAGTCCATAAGGAAATCCTAGTCATTGTCTTTATCTTCTGAATATATTCAAAATCTGACCACTTTTCACAATCTCTGTTGCTGTCACCCTAGTACAAGCTGCCTTCATCCTTCACATGAATTACTGCAGTAGCCTCCTCATTGGTCTCTATTAATTACCCTACAGACTATTGTCAATACAACAACCACAGTATTCCTTTTAAAACATTAGTTCAGATATAATTTCTCTGCTAAGAACTCTCAAGAGGCCTCCATTTTACTCAGAATAAATGTCAGAGTCCTGACAATGGCCTATAAAACTCTATATGATACGAGGTTGGCATTTTAGATAGGATAGCAACGCAGGTCTAACAGAATATGCCATTTCAGTGGAGCCCTGAAGGGAGGGAGATGAACCTTTAGGCCATAAGGGTAGTAAGAATATTTCAGACAGATGAGTAATGCAGATAATAATGAGACTGGCTTCAAGGTTGGTGGGAAATGAAAAGAAATGGTCTTTAAGGAGAACCATATTGCAGGTAAACAAGGAGGGAAGTTTGAAGAGCATTTTTTAATACCTACCTTGTAAAAAATTGGAGTCCTGGTGTGGGATAAGCACTGGACTACCAGGTTGGTTTGAACCGCAAGGTTGGCGATTCAAACTCATCAACTAGCCGCTCCTTGGATATTCTATTCATGGTCAGTATGAGTTGGAACAGACTCCATGGCACTTAACAACAAAAAATTATTTTGTTTTTATGAAAAAAGAATGATCCCTGTTTATTTTAGCTATTTTATATACTATATCTTTGTGTTCAGGAATTCATTAAAAAACTGATAACGATGAGAGTGTTGATAGGGAGAAGACTAATTTTAAAGACATTTGAAAGGAACTTTATATCATTACCTTTCATAAACAGCAGGGGGAACCATTTTGTCAATCATCTAAATCTGAAGGTAGCTGATTTGAATTAAAGCTCTTTCATTTACTGTGTTTGGATTAGGGCTTTGTACTGGTTCAGCCCATTTCAGTCATGTCCAATAAAGTGTCCTGAATGCTTGTCACTCTCCATAGTCCTGACAATAATCCAATCTCCCACATCAGGCTCCTCAAAGGACTCTTTAGCCTCTTATGAATCTCCTATTCCAGGGCTTCCCTTCAGCTTGTGGTTTTCCCATTCTGGCTAGCGTTGTATATCACCCAAATTTCAAATTTTGGCTCAGTGCCACTTTTGCTACTCCATTCCTGAGCATTACAGAACACATCTCTGTCCTTCTGGCACCCACCGTCTATTGGGGAAGGCAGGCATTGAACATGTAATCAAGACAAGAATTGTTAAGGGTTCTAAATGGTAACAGTGGAAAAGTACAGAATGATGAGATGGGCTTTGAGGGACATCTGAAAAAGGAACCAACTTTTACCGGATAGCGTTTTTCTAATTGTGTCTTGGTGAAAAAATTGGTTGAGAACCTGTTTATTATTTTTGAGGTGATTTCCTAGGTTCAGTCATTTAAAAAAAAAAAAAATGCTGTTGTTGGGAACTGTGCTAGAAATAATGAGGGGGCTTCAAAAAGTTCATGTAAAAATTCCATTATCTTTGAATTCCTTTTTTTTTTATGAACTTTTAAAAGCCCCCTTGTATGAATATGTTTTAAAGAAATCTCTTAGGTTCTCAGGAGTGAACCCATTTTCACAGTGGTTTCACAAATGAAGGTGGTGAGAGCAGCTGTATCTGAGGTGGGGCGAACACTGGGCAGGGGTTGGTCTGGGAAGCCTTCAAAAGAGGTCCCGGATGGCTGGGCTTTAAAGAGGATGAGTTGGAGATGACCAAGGTATGGGCTCTAAGTCAGATAGCCTAGGTTTAAAATCTAGCTGATACTTACAGTGTATGCTTATGTAACTGTGCCTCCATTTTCTCATCTGTAAAATGGGGATGAGGAGGATACTAATTGAACTGAACTCACAGAGTTGTGAGAATCAAATGATTGTGCAAAATACTTTAAAACGTTCCTGTTGTTGTTAAGTTCCGTTGAGCTGGTTCCAACTCATTGACCCTTATGGGGTTTCTGAGGCTTTAAATCTTTGTGGGAGCCGAAAGCTTCATCTTTCTCCCGTGGAGCAGTTGGTGGGCTCAAACTGCCAACCTTCTGGTTTGCAGTCTAGTGCTTAACTTTTATGGAATCATCGCGCTCTCTAAAAAGAACCTGGCACATAGTAAACAATTGAAGGCTGATAACTGCTGTTAAGTTCCATAGAGTCTTCTGAACTGCTGACCTTGTGGTTAGTAATCCAGTGCTTATTCTACAGAGCCGTACCAGGATGCCTATCAATATTATTTTAGAAATCTAAGGGGTAGGATAGAATTGGCAGGTTGTAGTTTGTGATTGAATGTGAGTGGTAAATATTAAAGGATGAGCTTAGGGCAGTGGTTCTCAGCCTTGAATGCACATTAGAATCACCTGGGAGTATAAAGCAATCTGATTTCTGGGCCCACCCTAGATCAATTCAATCTATCTATGACAACGTGGCCTCTGGTGATTCCAATGTGCTGTAGAACTTAAAACCACTGGTCTAGGACTTCCCGGTTGTTGGCTTGGGTTAATTTGTTGCTGATGGTGCCATTTACTAGGATAAAAAGCAGATTGAAAGAAAAGGTAGCATTTAACAATAGTACCTAATTTTTTTTTTTTTTTGGTGCCTAAATTTTTAAGAATCCTGTTACTATATATATATATATATATATATATATGCGTTACTTTTTATAACTAAATAATTTTTTATTAGTTTTTGAGTTGGATATCATAAATGACTCCAGACTATATTATTTTCATGGTCTTGCTTCTGCATTTTATACTTTGAATTTCTTTTCGAATATTGTTGACTGTTGCTCCTTTTCTTTGGATGTAATTGCCTTTCACAATATACATTATAATTTATATATTAGGCTTTTGTCTGACTCCGTCTTCTGAAATGTACAAGCAGCCCTCGGTTACATCATGAACATTCAACTTATGGACAAGTCCTGTTTGCCCTTTAATGTTAAGAAAATTTGCCCTCATTTTGAAATGATTGAACCAACCCCTACTTGCAACAAGTTTTTCATCACAATGACCTTCACTTGCTGCAAGTGCAACATTTAAATCATTGAAAAAGCTTTGAGTCAAACTCATAGGAACCCTATAGGACAGAGTAGACTTTGCCATAGACAGTTTTGGTAACCACAGAAAACAGAGGTCTTTACAGACTACATCGTTCTCCCACAGAGCAGCTGTTGAGTTTGAATTACGAACCTTTTTGTTTGCAACCTAGTACTTAACCTCTTGCACTAAAATAAGGCTAAATAAATATTATTATGTACCTGTTTCAACTCACCCACAAATTCCACTAAATACAGACTCAGGAACTGACCTCTTTCATAACTTGAGGACTGCATGTATTGTTAATTGCTCCCCTGCCATACCATCACCACCACCACCTATAGAATGCAAGCTCCACCAGGGCAAGGGATCTTTGATATTTTTGTTCACTAATGAATTTTAAGGAACCCTGGTAGCCTAGTTGGTTACATATTGCACTGATTACCACAAGGTCAGCAATTTGAATCCAACAGCCACTTCTTGGGAGAAAGATAAGACTTTCTCTTCCTGTAACTGCAAAGTCATTATGAGTTGGAACCGACTTGACGGCAAACCACCACCACCACCACTGAATTTTAGGTTTATGGCAGATTATAAATATGTATTTCTTGAGAGAATACATGAATTAGGATTTGGATGGTTTTGTTTCCTTCCAGATTCTTGGCTGAGCTCTGGAGTAAAAAAAGGGAGTTGGAGAGCAGAATTTCAGAGAGGTCTGTTTCCTTCTGTATTGTTACATGGAGCTCAGTTTCTGATCACTAAAGGTTTTTAGAAGATTCCATTGAGTAGATAGTTCTTAATATGTGCATCTTAACAATGAAAACTTTTTTTTAATGTTTTGGTAGGAACCACCAAGGCCAGCTCTAAATAATTTTGAAGTGGGAATGAAACTTGAAGCAATAGACAGAAAGAACCCTTATCTGATCTGCCCTGCAACTATTGGAGGTGTGAAAGGAGATGAAGTTCATATCACATTTGATGGCTGGAGTGGAGCTTTTGATTATTGGTGCAAGTATGATTCTCGAGATATTTTCCCAATTGGGTGGTGTCATCTGACAGGCGATGTATTACAACTGCCAGGAGCTAATGGTAAGACAATAAGTAACTGCATATTCTTTTATTTTGTTGAAGTTACATTTACTTGCTGTTGGTGGCATGGTGGATAGCATTTATGGCATTAAGACATCATGCCCAACTGAACAGCAAAGCATACCACTAAAAAACACTGTCCAAGCTAGAGAATGAACAGGGCAAAAGGAAAGAGGGATTAAAACTCTTAGGGTTACCCCAGTATCATAGTCCAAGTTACCCCAGTTCACATTGGAGATTAATTATAACAAGACTAAAAGTCATCTTTCGACCACTGAAACCTTGTGGCTGTAAGCATTTTGGGGCTCAGCTGCCTCTATAGTTGATAATTCAGTTTAACATTATAACTAACATTTAATTGTTCATATCTGAAAGATGTTTCTAAAAAGGTTGGGTATTGCAAAAGTTAAATATACCATTATTATCAGCTGCCTTCGAGTTGTTTCCAACTCATAACTAAATACTGCCCGATCTGCACCAGCCTCACAATTATTTTTACACTTGAGCCCATTGCTGCTGCCTCTGTGTTGATCCATCTCTTTGAAGGTCTTCCTCCTTTTCACTGATCCTCCACTTTATCAAGCATAATGTCATCTCCAGAGACTGGTCTTTCAGTAAAATGTCCAAAGCATGAGAGACCATGTCTCACAATCTAGGCTTCGATGTAGCATTCTGGTTGTACTTCTTCCAAGACACATTTATTTGTTCTTCTGGCAGTCCTTGTTACTTTTAATACTATTCTCTAACACCATAATCCAAATGCATCAATTCTTCTAAGGTCTTTCTTTCTCTTTGCCCAGCTTTCCTATGCATATGAGACTATTGAAAATACCATGTCTTTGATCAGGCTTACCTTAGTCCTCAAACTTATTTTTGCTCTTGAGCACTTTAAAAAGAGGTCTTTTGCAGCAGATTTGCCTAAAGGAATATGTCATTTGATTTCTTGACTGCTGCTTCCATGAGTCTTGATTGTGAATCCAAGCAAAATGAAGTCTTTGACAACTTCTGTCTTTTTCCATTTGTCATGTTATTATTGGTCCAGTGGTGAGGATTTTTGTTTTCTTTACATTGCAGTGTAATCCATAATGAAGGCTATAGTCTGATCTTCATCAGTATTTTAAGTCCTCTTTGCTTCCAGCAAGCCAGGTTGTGTCATCTGCATATCACAGATTGCACACCCTTCCTGATACCAAATCATTCAGTATCCACTTGTTCTGTTCTAATAGCTGCCTCTTGGTCTATGTACAGGTTCCTCATGAGCACAGTTAAGTGTTCCAGACTACTCATTCTCCACAATGTTATCCGTAGCTTGTCATGATCAAGCAAAATTTCACTTGCATATGATGTTAATGATTTTGTTCAGTAATTTCCCCATTCTGTTCAGTCACTCTCTTTGGAATAGGTACAACTATGGATCTCTTTCAGTTGGCCAGGTAGCTGTCTTCACATTTCTTGGCATATATGAGTAAGGGCCTCCAGCCCTACATCAGTTTGTTGAAAGATTTCAATTTATATTTTGTCTGTGCCTGGAGCCTTGTTTTTCACCAATGCCTTTAGTGTACCTTGGACTTTTTCTTTTCAGTACCATTGGTTTTTGACCATATTCTACCTCTTGAAATGGTTGAATGTCAACCACTTCTTTTTGGTACAATGACTATGTATTCTTTCTGTCTTCGTTTGATGCTTCCTGCATCATTTAATATTTTGTGCATGTATTGTTGTAAGTGCTGTCGATTCAGTTCACTTCTGACTGACTCTCTGCAACCCTGTATAGGGTTTCTGAGGAGCAGCTGGAGGGTTTGAACTGCCAACCTGTGGTTCAGAGTGACCTTGTGGTCCAGCGTTTTATCCTACAATGCCATACCAGTACTTCCAACATATATTGGTGAGGATGTGTAGAGATTGGAATCTTTATACATTGCTGGCTATTGTTATTGTTAAGGGCCTTTGAGTCAGTGCCAACTCATAGCAACCCTGTATAAGGTTTCCAAGGAGCAGCAGCTGTTAGATTTGAACGGCCAACCTTACGATTAGTAATTCTGTGCTTACCCTACCTGTATCCTTCAATATTCCAAGTCAAGACTTAAATTTTTTCATCAGTTCTTTCAGCTTGAGAAATGCTGAGGGTGTTCTTCCTTTTTGGTTTTCTATCTCCAGGTCTTTGCACATTTCATTTTAATACTTGACGTTTTCTTTTCAAGCTGCCTTTTGTAATTTTTGTTCAGTTCTTTTACTTCCTTGTTTCTTCCAGTTACTGTAGCTTCTCTACACTAAACAGCAAGTTTAAGAATCTCTTTTCACATTCATTTTGGTCTTTCTTTCCTGTCTTTTTAATGAACTTTTGTTTTATTCCTGTATGAGATTCTTGATGTCATCCCACAACTCTTATGGTCTTTGGTCATCTGTATCTCATGCATCAATATGTTCTTGAGATGGTTTCTAAATTCATATGGTATATATTCAAAGTCATATTTTGACTTTTGTGGACTTGTTTTAATTTTCTTCAGTTGTAGCCTGAACTTACATATGAACAATTGATGGTCTGTTCTACAATCTGTACCTGGCCTTTGTTTTTGTTGATGATACTGTGCTTTTCCACCGTCTCTTCCCACAGATGTAGTTAATTTGTTTCGTGTATTCTATCTGATGAGGTCCATGTGTACAGTCATCTTTTATGTTGTTTAAAAAAGGTATTTGTAATGCAGAGTCAGTTGGTCTTGCAAAATCATGCATTTTACCAGTATCATTTCTGTCTCCAAGACCACATTTTATAACTACTTTGTTTCCAACCTTTGCATTCCAATTACTAGTAATTGTCAGTGCATTTTAATTGCATGTTTTATTAATTTCAGGCTGAAGAAGTTGGTAGATTTCTTCAATTTCACCTTCACTGGCTTAAATATGAGTAATAGCCATATTAACGGATCTTCCTTGTAGGTATATAGGTATTCTATCACAGACAACATCGTACTTCAAATCTGGAACTATTCTTTTTGGCAATGAATGATTTTGTTGTTCTAGCATAGTAAACCATATGATTATTGGATTGAAAATGGCCAATAGCAGTTGATGCCTAAGATATCGATCTTTATGTGTTTCATTACATTTTTGACAACTTCTGATTTTCCTAGATTCATACATTGTATATTTCATGTTCTGATTATGAATGGATGTTTACAGCTGTTTCTCCTCATTTTGGCTTTTGCCCTTTTGAAAGTCCTAAAAGCTTTACTTCATTTATGTTATTATGATCACTTCTACTTTGAGGAGGAAGTTTTTCCAAGTCATATTTTGAGTGCCTTCCAACCTGAGGGTCTTATCATCTGGCACTGTATCTGACAATATTCTGCTGCCATTCATAAGATCTTCAGTGGCTAAAGATTCAGAAGTAGTCGCCTCTCCTTCTTCCTAGTTTGTATTAGACTGGAAGCTTCAATGAAGCCTGTTCACCATGGGTCACCCTCCTGGTGTTTAAAATGCTGGTGTCACCTCCAACATCACAACAACATGCAAGCTACCAGAGTATAGCAAACTGTTAGACGAGTGGTGGCTTGGGTGTACTAGGTACCTCTTTGTATCTGTTAATCATAATTTTCATTCCTTGCTGTCCATAGTTCTAGGAAGTAGTTATTAATAGTTGATGTTGTAAAAGTTAGTATGTCAAAAAAAAAAAAAAAGTTAGCATGTCATAGGTCTACAAAGGGGTCTTCAAAAAGTCCCTGGAAAAAATGGCATTAAAAACTAATCTTTTTCCACAAACTTTTTTTGAAGCCCCCTTTTCTATACATGTATAACTGAGATAAATAAGACTCAGTCTCTGCCTTGAATAAATTTTCCTTCTAGTGGGAGAGGGATTAATGGAGGAATAGAATTGCAAAAAGAAAAATACAGTGCAGCATTAATGCAAAAATAGAGATGTTTGCTAGATGGCAAGTGTAGCTCACAGGTGACCAGTCTGTATGGGCAAGAGGAGGTGGTTGTGTAAAAGAAAGCTTCACAAAAATACGCATTACAATATTAAGAGATGATTGACTTTGCTAGGTAGGTGGACACATTAGAAAGGTGTAAAATTGTGCAGTTTATTCTGAAAACTTATGGGTTCATTTTGTGACAGGGTGAGTTTGAAGTGTGTGAGAATACTGGTTGTCCCCAGCATCTGTTCTCCTTTTCTTTCTTAGTGATACTATTTGGCTGCCATTTGTACTTACATGTATGAAACTACATTTCCTAGCAGTTAGATTTGACCATGCAAGTAAGTTCTGGCCAATGAGATCAAAGCAGAGGTAATGTGTTCTATTTTTGTGTCCTAGTGTGCTTCAGGTAGTTTCTTTAAAGAGAGATTGGTGTGCCTTTCTCACTTCCTACTTCCATCTTGCTGCTAGGAATATGGTTGTATTGTCTGTATCTCTATACCCTAGGCAGGGTGATGTGGAAAGCAGGAAGGAACCTGAGTCCCAAGAATTTTGTGGAGCAGAGCCTTCATACCAGCCCCTATGCTTCTTTCAGACAGTCATTTGAGAGAAGCCAACTTAAATGTTATGTAAGCCACTGCTATTTTCTATTAGCTGTACGTACAAGTATGTTGTTGTTGTTGTTAGGTGCCATCGAGTCAGTGCCAACCCATAGTGATCCTATCCTATGTACAACAGAACGAAACACTGCCCGATCCTGGGCCAACCTCACTACTGTTGCCTCGCTTGAGTCCATTGATGCTGCCACTTGGCCAATCCATCTCATTGGGGGTCTTCCTCTTTTTCTCTGGCCCTCCACCTTACCAAACATCATCTCCTTCTCCAGTGACTGGTCCCTCCTGACAATATGTCCAAAGTATGAGAGACGAAGTTTAGCCATCCTGGTCTCCAAGGAGCATTCTGGCTGCATTTCTTCCAAAACGGATCTATTGGTTCTATGGGCAGCCCATGGCACTTTCAGTATTCTCCTCCAATACCATAACTCAAAAGCATCAATTCTCTACGGTCTTCCTTATTCACTGTCCAGCT